GCCCGGCGGCCCCGGCGGGGCCCAGGGAGAAACCGCGCGTCGGGGCTGCGGCCCCTGCGCAGCAAGGCCGTGCCCTGTTGCCCCCAAGTACACAGTTCAGTGAGTGGCCTGGGGGCTGGCGGGGATCAAGGGGTGGGGAGGTCACGGAGGGACCGACGGAGGTCCGGGCGCGGGCGGGCACCGGAGGGCGCCCCGGGGTCTCCGGATCCGGCCCGGCACCGACGCTCGCGCCGGGCGTGAGCCCGCGGGAGGAGCCCTGCTCCCCGCTCCTCCCCTGCTTCCAGGCGGAGCCCCTCCGCGCGGGACGCCCCGCCCACGTCCCTCAGCACCGACCCCACCTTCGGGGAGGAATCCTCAGCCGGAGCCCGAGCCGCGGGGAGGCAAAGGGGCCTCACCCCGGGGGGGCCCCACCCGCCGTCTGAGCCCCGGCCCTCTGGAGAGGAGCCCGAGCCTGGGACTCCGGCCGTCCAGCAAGGAGCCCCGCCCCCAGCAGGAGCCCGCTCTCAGACATGAGCCCCGCCCCCGGGAAGAGCCCCGCCCCCAGGCAGGAGCCCCGCCCCTGGGAGAGCCTCGCCCCCAGGCAGGAGCCCCGCCCCCAGAGAGAGCCCCGCCCCCAGGCAGGAGCCCCGCCCCTGGGAGAGCCCCGCCCCCAGGCAGGAGCCCACTCTCAGGCATGAGCCCCGCCCCCGGGAAGAGCCCCGCCCCCAGAGAGAGCCCCGCCCCCGGGAAGAGCCTCGCCCCCAGGCAGGAGCCCCCGCCCCCGGGAAGAGCCTCGCCCCCAGGCAGGAGCCCCGCCCCCAGAGAGCCCCGCCCCCAGGCAGGAGCCCACTCTCAGGCATGAGCCCCCGCCCCTGGGAGAGCCCCGCCCCCAGGCAGGAGCCCTCTCTCAGACATGAGCCCCGCCCCCGGGAAGAGCCCCGCCCCCAGGCAGGAGCCCCGCCCCCAGGCAGGAGCCCCCGCCCCTGGGAGAGCCTCGCCCCCAGGCAGGAGCCCCGCCCCCAGAGAGAGCCCCGCCCCCAGGCAGGAGCCCACTCTCAGGCATGAGCCCCGCCCCCGGGAAGAGCCCCGCCCCCAGGCATGAGCCCCGCCCCCGTGAAGAGCCCCGCCCCCAGGCAGGAGCCCGCCCTCCGGCAGGCGAGGTCGCCGCAGGGGCAGGGCACGGGCGCGCGCCCGCCTACTTGCAGGTGTGCACGTCGTAGACGCGCGCGCACTCCTGGCAGCTGACGTAGCAGCACCAGTGGAAGACGCAGTGGCACTTCTCGCGGCGCCGCTCGGTGCGCGCGTTGTGGCCGCGGCCGCAGCACAGGAGATCGCAGCCGTCGATGCCGTGGGAGCTGACGTTGCACGTGCGGTCGCGCGTGCCGAAGGAGCCGGTCTCGGGGTTGGGCTCGCAGAAGTTGGGCGAGGCCTCGTAGTAGACCAGGTCGCGCTCGGTGGGCACCTTGAAGTAGGTGAAGCGCGGCCGCAGCGTCTCCACCCAGCCGCGGGACTCGCGGTGCTTCTCCACCACCATCTCCGACGCGCTGTCGTACTTGTCCTTGAGGAAGTCGCCCACCGTGCGGAAGTCCGGCTGCGACCACCAGCAGGTCTTCACCTCGCAGCTGCCCGACAGCCCGTGGCACTTGCACTTGAGGTGCATGTGGCTGGCGATGGCCTGCGGAGGGGCACGTGAGCGGGGTGGGCGCCGCCCGCGGGGCGTGGCCGGCCGGGCGGGACCTCCGCACCGCCCGGGGGCGTGGCCAGCGGGGGCGTGGCCAGCAGGGGCGATCACTGCCCACGGGGCGTGGCCAGCTGGGGCGGGGCGAATACTGCCCACAGGGTGTGGCCAGCGGGGGATTGGTCCAATCACTGCCCACGGGGT